TTTGTTTGTTAGATGTGTTTCTGACCGAGGTATTACATCCCCACTTTCTCGGAACATAAAATTTGTGAGTTCAAGTTTATGATGGCTTAAAACGTTTGCATTCCATGTACAAATTTTTAAAGTATTTATTTATTAGACAAAAACATTTGCATTAATTGGCTTTGCATTTTAACTATCTCGTTAAGAGTAGTTTGCATGATTGACATGAATTGAGTTAAGCTTTGGGTGAGAGTGGAGATCATCATTTCCAAACTATTACTTTGAACTGGAGGGGCTTGTTGCTTGTCAGATTTAACGACATTAGCATATGAAACACCTTGTGTAACAGGCCTAGAAGTTAAAGGTTGAGGTACTTCAACTAATTTAATAGGGTTGCTTCTTGTAGGATTACGCAACGCTTCTTTCTGCAGAGCTAACCTGTGCTTCAGTTCTTTATAAATAGGACAGCTTCTGTAGTTTGCAGTGTGATTTCCACTGCAAGTTGCTACATTTTTTGGAGTTGGTATCCTTTAATGCTTTTTTATCGCATTCGGAACTATGGTGAAGCTCGCCACAAGCTACGCACACTGTACGAAGAGTGCAATATGACTTAGTATGGCCATACTCTTGGCAGTTTGTGCATTGCACCGGACCATTTCTTTTGTGGGGCTCCTCAACGCTAATTCTGCGGTGAAGTAAATACTGTAGGTTGTAGATGGGATGGCTCTCATTTTTTTTAAGCTTAGAAGCTTCCGGGTGAAGATCAACTTTGAACATAGGTTGTGGGATTTTATCTTTGTTAACAATATTTATTACTGCTCTAGCGCTAAAGCCTTTTTCGCTTAGGGCATTTGTTATCTCAATGGCTTCTACATCTGATTCGATACCTTTAATTACGACAACAAGGCCCTTACTACTCTTTAGTTGGTATGTGTAGTAATTTTTTTTGCTGTCTTCGAAATATTTAGTTATGACTCTAAAATTGTTTTCAGTGTCGATTTGGATTTTGGTTTCGTGTATATTGCCCCTAGTTATAGGAACAATATGAAAAGTATTATTTCCAATCAGACTTGCAAGGATTGTAACTAGCTTATTTGAGCTGCGTTCACGCAAGTAGATTGGAGGCGGTTTAAAATTTTTGTTAATAGGCTGATTAGCTTCATCTGTAGTTTCAGCTAATTCAGCAAATCTATTGCCAGAAAGAATGCTTGTAGATACACTATCTTTAATAGTTTTAGTTATTTTAGCACCTTTTGGATCGCTTTTTTGAGGACTAGATTTTCGTTTCATATCTACATAACGTTCCGTGTCTGTTTGGACCTTTATTTTATATTTTGGACTCACTAAGTCGGAAAATGCACTCGAAGCTGCTGAAGGTGCAATATTTGACAGGCTTTTAACAGTTAGTGTAGGTTTCAGAGGCAACGTATTTGCTGCGTCTATTACCAGAAAAGCATTACGTTTACTTGGAATGCTTATCGTATGTCTTCTCTCTAGATTTTGATTGCTCATTTGCATACGTGATTATATTATTATTATTATTTAAAAATAGGCTATTTGTGCACCCCGACCTAAAAGATCTATTGTGCGCCTATAGGCCCAACTAGGACAATTTTAGACTATTTATAAATCTTATAATTGCAGTGGGCTTTATTTTACCTATTTGATTTGGGACCAGGATCCCGCTACCAAGGTAATCGAGTCTACGTCTTGCCACCGCTGGGCAGTTGCATAGAACATGTTCCGATGTTTCCTTCTCCTCATGACAGAGTCGACAGGAATCACTTTCTACCGCACCTATAATCTTCATGTGGTAATTAAGTCTACAGTGCCCTGTAAGAAGTTCAGTGTAGATTTTGATATCATTTCTGCTAAGGTTGATGATAGCATCAACTTTGATGTGTTCAGGATCAATGAATCTTTTTGACTGTCGCATGCCTGTTTGGGCTCTCCAGTGTTCAAGTAGATGCTTACGTGGTTATATATGCAAATAGCAGGTGTGCTATAAGATTTACTTAATTTAACTACTATTAATATTAATTGATATTAAATTAAATTAACTATATAAATATAAGTAAAATTAAATTAAATTAATATAAAGAAGAAAATAATGAAAATAAAAATGAAGATGTAAAAATAAAATGAAAATGTGTAAAATATTATACTTTATATTCTAATAATTAAACATATAAATAAAAACAAAAAGAGAGAAAAAAGAATAATAATTATACTAAGAATAATAATAATAATAATAATAATAATAATAAAAAAATAATAATAATTAATAAAATTAATATCTTTAAATTCCAAAATCCAATGTTAGCACGTATGTTGGTTTTGATGTTGTGTTGTGTTGTGATGAATTGCGGGCTTCCAATTACAGCTTTTGTGGAACACGTTTGTAATAATACTAGCTGTCTCTATCAGCACTTTTTTGTTTTGTTTATATATTCACAAAACCGCACTGATATTTTGTTTGAATGCTTGCTCACTTTTTTATATTTTGAGCTTTAGAAAATAATTTGCTGTCTCTGTCAGCTATTTGAGTTTTTTTTTAATATTAAAGTTGTGCAAAAATCAACAAAAATCGAAAAAGCGCGCGCTATTTTCAAATTAATATTTTATGCACTTTTAACTTTTAGGAATTGTTTTTTTGTCCGAGAATGTTCTGTTTTTTATTTTTGTATTAATAACAAAAGTAATTCTTTTAAAAGTGATTGTTATTTACTTGTTTTTATACTGAAATTTAAATTTTTCCGAGACCGGCTTAAAAACACGTCCGCTCACTAGAAAGTTCGAAAGTAAAATTGTTCTATATTTAATGTCATATAAATTTAAGGTACAGACTTAAGTTTATATAAAGCCTTAGAAAATTGCATTTTATATAAACTTGACATTAATAGTTAGTTACAATGATTAAATTGCTCTTTAAATGTAATCGTACAACTCATTACTCAACATTGCAACATTGAGCAATGCCCTGCATCGACTTCAAATAAGAGTTTTATTAACTAGTTAGTAGATACAATATAAAATAATGCATTTTTTGATATAAATTTCTAGGTAGATTCCTATAGATGTCATTACCGTGCTTTTGTCTCCGGTTGGGTTTGCTAAAATAAAGAAAGAATATAGAGATTATTACTCAATGTTATATTAACACTTGTGTGTTGCCAATTTCACGACACTCATGATTGCCTCCGGTGTCGTTCCTGATTTTTTTTCTGGAAGGTCGTTAGTTGCATAATTATTTCATCTATCTAAAAAAGAAAACTAAAAAAAATAAAAGCAAGATACTTAATACTCATTCGTAATTCTAGGTTCTGCGAATAGGATCACCGGTAGGCTCTGTTACCTCATGTCTTGGTTGACATTTCCTGATGACTGAGTGAACTTCCTATTTGGTGGCGATCTTACTTCTTCATTCTGTGTGATCCTCACTTAAATAAATGAAATTGAAATTTATTAGTTAGATGGAAAAATACTCGTAATTCACTTTGCGGTCTCTATAGTAATTAAAGCATAATTTATTTGTTGTATGTTGAGGTTCACCACATGAATAATTTTTCATAATTGTAACCCCATTCGGATGAATTCATATACCATAAATCATGTCACCATATATTTTTTAGATGTCGGCGATTTATTTGAATCGTTAATTAAATATTTGTTTCTTAATTAGCATAATTAGTTAAGTCTATATTTGCGAATAAGACAAGCTCTGTAAAAAGAAATCATGTTGCCTTGATCTTGATAATGTGAATGTTTACATGGCCCGGTTCTTACATTTGCCCTACTATGCACCCTCTTTACCATGGAGGCTTTTTTATTTATTAAGGCATTGAGAATCGGCACGTGCCCAATATTATTAATAATTTCTATAATCAGAATCGTGATAGTGTTCCCTACAGAGCTTGCGATTTCTCTCTTCAGTTTTTGGAGTTTAAGGTATGTTTACTTTGTGCACTTCCTCTATAAAACTAACTTTTTCATTATGTGAAACTTAATACGTACAATAATATAAATACATGTTTCACTTGACTACGATTAGTTCAAGTACAGAGAAGTTTTGTTATATTTCATAATACGATTTGCAATTGTCAAGTTATCAAAGACTTAATGCTAATGGAGTAGTAATCTAAATTTTTATTAAACTACTAATTCGGGAATAGATCTGAAGGATTAATTCGTTTAAGAGACTTTGTAAGGCCAGATGTATTAGACAGATGATGGACTGTCTTGAAAATTTTGAATGGTTCGTATAGACGATTTTGGAGCACATCCCAATAACCGGAGCAAAGACTTGCTTGTACGAGTATATAATTAATTTGTTGCTTAGAAAGACGGGTGATTTTTTCCAAAAAAGCCAATATTCTATTTGGCTTTTTTCTATTCATTAATTACTGAAGGTACGATAAAACAAAATAACAAACCCATAAAGCAAATTTAAGCAGTGAAATATACAAACAGGAGATTTCTTTGTTTTGAATTTTTTGTATCATAACTTATTTGATTTTAATTTTCATATTATTTAATTACCTTCACAGACAGTTTTGTTTTTCAGCACTACCACGCCCTACCACTACATAGCACTACCATTACATATATATATATATATAATAAAAAAAAACGATTTTTGATTTTTTCTTATAAAATTTTATTTAATATGTACTTCACGCGATGCAATCTTAACTTTAACTCTGCTCAAAGTTTTTTCTGTTTCGAGCGGCAAGTTCTATTTTATTCAATTTAATAGTGTAGAGAGAAAGCTTAATGCCACTTATTTATATAAATATATATATATATATATATATATATATATATATATATATATGTTATATTTCTGTGTTTATATAATTCTATTTTATTTTTCAATTATCAATTAATTATTACATGTGCACGCGCTTTTTTCTATCTCTCCTTCTTTCTTCGCATGCTCCAAAACAGCTGATCACCTTAGTGATGCCATCTCGTTACGATAATTGATTTTATATCGTAACACCTACCCTTTTCGAAATGTTTTACTGTGGTTGAAACCTAGTGACTGCTATGCGATTACGTGTTGTCCTACGAAGAACAGGTGATGTAGGTGTTGAAATTGTTGTAGGCATTATGGGTAACTCGGTTGGCGATGTCGATAGTGGTAGAATATTTGGCAGTGTCTGATTGTTGAGTGCTTTTGTAAACTGATCTGATTGTTGTGGTAAATCATACACATCTAGTGCAGCTTCCCAAAACCTGTGGTTATTATTTTGGTCGTGGTAGCGCTTTCGTAATTGATTACAATGAATTCGAATTAATTTTCCATTGTTCAGAATAACATTGTACATTACTTTTCCTTTTTTCTCAATGACTTCCCCAGGCATCCATTTGAAACGGTTAACTCCATTTGGAATGTTGGCGTAAATTTTATCTGATGGAAAGTATTTTATTTCCTTGGCACCGTACCTTTTGTTAAATTGCTTTTCCATTTTGAATTTATTTGGACTTAACTTTGCATTGTGTAGCTTTTTTGGCTGCAGCAAATCTAAATTTATTCTCATTTTCCTTCCGAACATGACTTCTGCTGGAGATCGCTTCTCTGGTGAGTTTACATTCGGTGTTGAACGATATGTCTGAAGAAATGTGCATAAATTTTGTGTGATCGTCCCCTCTCCTTCTAATTTTTTTAAAGATCTTTTGAAAGTGTCTACAAACCTTTCAGCTTGACCATTCGACATTGGATAGTAAGGGCTGGAATATAGATGTTCAACGCCGTTATGTTTTAAGAATTGTTCAAAATGTTCACTACGAAACTGTGTTCCATTATCTGATACGATTGTTTTTGGCAGACCAAATCGGGCAAAAATATCATTTAAAATATTCACGGTTGCTTGGGATGACATTGCTTTTGTTTGAACAATTTCCGGCCACTTTGAATATGCGTCGACAATGACCAAAAAATACCATCCTTCTATCGGTCCAGCATAGTCTATATGCACCCGCTCCCACTGTTCGCTTGGTGTGGGCCAAGAATGAAGTAATGTTTTCGTAGGCATCTTTGCTGCATTTGCACATTGATTGCAATTTTGAATAAATGTTTTTATATCAGTATCAATGTTTGGCCAATATACAAAACTCCGTGCTAATGCCTTGGTACGCTCAATACCTTGATGACCACGATGTAATTGTTTAAGTACACGTTTTTTGTAGACTTGTGGGATAACAATACGTTCACCGTACACAACACATTCATATATTAATGATAACTCATTTTTCCTGTGTAAAAATGCTTGTAATTCTCTATTATTTATTGTTTTGTTAGGCCAACCATTTGTAATATAATATATTATTTTTTTTTTAGAATTGGATCTTTTGCTGTTTCATATGTGATCATTTTATGTGTTACTGGTAAAGTATTTATAGTGTTAACTATAATTGAATTTACACTTCTTTCTAATTTGATTGATGCTACAACGTAATTTTCAGAAATATTTTCGTTGTTGTTTATAAGTCTAGATAATACATCAGCGTATCCGAAACTGTTTGTTGAAATGAATCTTATTTCAAAATCGTATGCTAAAAGCTGAATTGCCCATCTTTGAAGACGATTAGCTTGATGTATAGCAATGCCTGTTTTTCTACCGAAAATAGTCAGTAAAGCCTTATGGTCGGTATGCAATATAAATCTTCTTCCATACAACATTTTATGAAATTTGGTAACTGCAAATATGAGTGCAAGTCCTTCTTTTTCTATCTGGCTATATTTTTGTTCTACCGGAGTGAGAGAACGTGAAGCATGGCAAATAGGTTTAATGGATCCATCTGAATATTCATGCATGATGCATGCGCCTAACCCATAGTTTGATGCGTCAGCAGCTACAATTAGCTTCTGATTTGGATCATAATGGCATAATAATAAATGTGATGACATTATAGCTTTAAGATGATGGAAAGACTTCTGATGTATCGCGTCCCATTTCCATTTTACATTTAACTTAAGTAAATTATCAAGTGGTCCTCTTAACTCACGCATCTTCGGAACAAATTTCCCGTAAAAATTTATTGCGCCAAGAAAATAACGTAATTCTGTAATATTTGATGGTTCTGGCATTTGCTTGATAGCGGCAATACGTTCTGGATCAGGTTTTAACCCTTCTTGATTGTACCCTAAATACTTAATTTCAGTTTTAAAGAAATTACATTTTTCGTATTTTAATTTAAACCCATAATCACGTAGCCTTGTAAGAACTGCATATAAATTGTCTGTATGTTCATATGCTGTTTTACCGGAAACAAATATGTCATCAATATATGATGCAGTGCAATTTAGTCCTGCTAACATTTGGTCCATAATTTGTTGAAAAATTGCTGGAAATGTTTTTATTCCAAAAACCATTCTGTTGTACTGGAATAGCCCGATGTGTGTATTTATTGTTAGTAGATGTTTCGATGCGTCATCAACCTCGATTTGTAAGAATGCATCCGATAAATCTATATGGCTAAATATTTTTGAATTTGCCAATTTTGAGAATATATTTTCTGGTAATGGTAATGGGTATTGATGTGATTCGAGGCAGTTGTTTAGACCAGTTGAGAAATCAGCACATATGCGTACGTTTCCGTTTGTTTTTTTCACAACAACTATAGGTGCTGCCCATGCGGAGAAGTTTACTGGTGAAATAACCTTTAATTCTTGGAGTCTTTTGAGTTCATCTTCAACTAGTTGTTGTACCGCATATGCAACTGGACGCTTTGGCTTAAATACTGGCTGAACGTTTGGTTTCGTTGTGATTACTGCTTTTGTTTTAGTGCATAACCCCATTTTGCCATCGAATACATCTGAAAAAAAATGTTTCAGGTGAGTATCTTTATTCGGATTTGAACACAATTGAATACTATCCTGATTTTGACAAATACTATTACAAATAGAATTGATTGACATATTACATAAATTCAATTCTTGTATCCAATCTAAACCCATTACGTTGAGATTTTGTATAGGAGTAACAAAACAAGTTAAACTTTGCTGTTGATTTCGAAATTCTACGTTGCATTTAAATTTTGCTGACAATGGTAACTCATCTGTTGCGCTGCGTGCTGTATGTTCTGATTCGCTAACATTATCGGCTTTGATTTTTTTAAATTGTCTTCAGAAATTATTGTTATATCTGATGCTGTGTCAAGTTGCAAATTTAATGGTGTGCCATTAATTTTGACTAATATGTATTTGCGTTTAATCATATTGACTTTGTTTGTAGTAAAGATGCTTTTTGAATTGAATTGACGGCCCTTATCAATTTTATGGTATTTTTGATTTTCATTTTGAGTTTTTCGGTATTTGCAATATCCTTCTTTATGCCCGACAAGTTTGCATCTGTCGCATTTGTGATTTTTGATTGGAAAGTGCCGCGAGTAATGAAATTCACCACAAAACCAACAAGGTGTTTTCGGTAAACTTGAAGATTCTTTTGACTTGCCATTATTTTTGATTTGTTTTTCAGTTTTATGGTTATTGACACGTAAACGATTTACCTGTGCATTGCTTTCTATGAGCATTGTATCGACTTTTAAATTTAGTATCTTTTGGCATTCTGTTGATAAGGTCTCCAACGTGACTTTCGTGCTTTCATTTTCCAATTTATTGAACATTTTTGTGCGTAATTCAAATTCTGATGGTGACTTTAATCCCATAATGAATATTAGACACTTAAATTGATCTGTAGTTAAATCATTCAGTTTGAATAATTCACATTGCTTATTAACCATGCTCGCATATGTAACGAAATCTTGTGTAGGCTGCTTTGTTATCTGTAAGCAATTGAATCTAGTATTGAATAGTGAAATCTGATTTCCAAAAAGTTTCTTGAGTTTTTCTACTGTGTCTTTAAAAGTAAAATCACGACTATGATTTGGTAGAATATAATTGATGTATTTATTATGAACAATGGTGTTCAATTTACGTAAAAGCAATCGTGTTTTTGCGGCATCATCCAATTTTGCAGCATCGATTAGAAACAGATCTTCGTACCGCATGTACCAAGTGTCAAATGTAATGTTATTTTCTGTATCGTGACAAAATTCTGTGATGTTTGATGCAAGTGCTTCAATTATGAATTCTGGTTCTGTTGGCTTGGATGTTGACGATGAATGCTCCGCTACTTCTGATTTTCCTTCTTTAAACAATTTTGCGATAAGATTCTGCATTGCAAGATTGTCTTGATGATTTTGATTCTGAATTTGTTTCAGAATATCAGCAAGTTGCTCTGCCATCTTGCTATATTTTTACACTTTAAAAGTTTTCCTCGTCGCCACTGTTATATTTCTGTGTTTATATAATTCTATTTTATTTATTCAAAATCATTTATTCAATTATCAATTAATTATTACATGTGCACGCGCTTTTTTCTATCTCTCCTTCTGTCTTCGCATGCTCCAAAACAGCTGATCACCTTAGTGATGCCATCTCGTTACGATAATTGATTTTATATCGTAACAATATATATATATATATATAGTCAGGCTAAAAGCCTTAGCTGTTTCATCTTAGTTTGGAGGCCTTATTTCTGGCATATACGTTCCACTCACTCACACATTTGTTCAGTCACTTCCTTTAATCATTCACTCAGAAAGGTATTGTCCCTCAAACTATTCAACTATCTGCGTCCAACGATAAGCAGAGATATGACCATACTTATCATTTCGCAGTTGACCTGATAAACACCCACCTAACTCCCTGGAGTCCAAACTTAGTCTGCTAGCATAGGGATCTGTTTATTAGGAATAGCTGGATGATAAATAGTTGAACGCGGTGAGGGACAACACCTACACCTACGCTTTTAGCTTGACTGCTGCTCTAGAAGTAGTGTCGACCTCCTGTTTCAAATAGCCAAATAACCTGCGAAGTTCTTCGCAGGTGAACATATTTCCCTTTACAAGTCGTGAGAACTAATAACATAAAAACAACAATACAAAAAATGAACATACATATTTTGGTATATAAATTTCCCTGTGGATATAAAGGAGCGTACGTTGCTAATAGATATATTGTACCTCTAAAAATAAAAACGTTCGTAACAAGAACTTATACAAATCCATCCGATGTTGTTATGTATAATTCACATAAAGCTTGCGGTATATGAGATCCGAAGATATCATGTATTTCAAACGTTAACAACGAACCGCCTGGAGCAATGCAATCAACGACATTCATTTATTCCCGGACTTATTATGCTCGACCTGATATGATATAAATACGACACGACGCACACAGGGGTATTTGACCAATTTAGGTGGCCAAAATAATTTTTGTGTGATTTTTAACTCAAAATGTTACCTAAAGCTACTTCATGACTTTTAAAGTTGCTAAAACAAAAAAATAAACAAAAAAAAAAAATAATTAATCATGTCTAAAAAAAATACACTGTGTTTGAGTAAGATATTAAAACAAATAAATATTATTTATTATATTATTATAAATATAATTATAAATATTATTATAATAATAAAAAGTACTTCAGTTTTTTAATGTGGCGTTTTGTCTAAACATATTCGTATACCTAACAACAGTAAAATTATAATTAAAAGCATGCATTTTTCTGTTCTTACCTTAGAGCAATAAGTGTAATTTTAAAAAGATTTAAAATATTTAAAAATTTAATATTTCGCTATATGAGCTAAGTTCATCCTTCTTACTTAAGCACAGTATGGTGTCCTCCAGTTCGTTAGTAGTAAGAAGCATTTCTAATGCTTCCTTTGTGAAAGGCTTTAATGGTTTTTGGCTTCCCTCTCAATCTAGTCAGAAGAGGATCTGAAGTTAGTAACAGTTTATTTAATATATCTGTATTGCAGTCTGAAATGCTTATTAAGTGCTTCTGCCGCTTCTTCTGACAGTTGTCCTATAGGCAGCAGATCATTTTTAATGACAATTTCTCCATGAATAAGAATCTTATGCATAGTAGACGTCATAGGATACCATGGATACAGCAATGGATAGGACGGCAATAGCGTGGTGAAGAAGGAATTGGGTTCTCCCATATCACTTTCTGAGTGTTTGATAATATTGGTTGCAGTGGTACCAACGAACTTAGAAAAATACTCGTATACAAATCGAACTCAATGTCAAATTTTTGCTTGTATTGGGATTGCTGTGATCCATCACAACCCCTCTTACAAACGATTGTTAAGTTTTTTAAATCATTCTGTTCTAATAATTTAATCACTTCTTGAAGATACTCCAATAGTCTTGTTGCTGTATGATTCAAAAGGTCTTGTTAATTGATTTCGGCACAAGTAGCAGTGATTTTGTATGCTGAACCTAACGAATAACAGTTCTTTTTGGCCTTTTGGATTAAAGAATAACTTGGATAAAACTTTTTATTACATATGAGCTTTTGCAGCTTTCAAGTATGCTTAATATATATGCTCTACATATTTCTGTGACACCTGAAGTACATAAATACAAAGTGATAAAATTTAATTATGGAAAGGATACACGGAAACACATACAGAGATCACAAACGCTGCTCATGTGTACACTGAATGCTGCTGGTGCGCTTGATTAGGATTTCAAACACTTACAAAAATTAGTAAATATTAACTTTATCTTCAATGTTTCAATGTGACAGATCTTTACATTTCAGGCATAACAATATTTTTTCTCCTACATTATCTAAATATTATGTTTACTCGTTTTGTATAGGAAGCAATGCAAAATGTTGTTTCAAATATATATTTAGAAATAAAATTGTTTGCCTGCTAGCCGATAAACAATTTTATTTCTAAATAAAATGATATCAGATGATAAATATACAAATACAATGTCAAATATATATGACTCTACTACATTTTAATTCTGCTTACAAAGCCATCCGCAAAAATCCGCAGCCAAGCTTTTTTTTTCTTAAATAAGGAAACTTTCACCTTTATAATACAGTTAATATCATAGTAGAATATTGCGGAATTCTATAACTTTTTAACTATAATGCATTCGCCTAAATCAATAAAATTCATTCAAATAGCAACTTTTAGATCAAAGCCTCAACAGCACTAACACACTGAGTATCTACAAAAAAATTTATAAGTGGATCTCTAATTACCTGCTTTAAGCAATGTCATAATTTATATCTTTCAAAAATGTTGTCAGCATTAAAAACATTACTTTTTAACTTTTAAGAGAAACCTCTTTCTGCAGATTAGGTTAGGTTAGGTTATACCGGTGATCCCTAGTGGATCCATTGGGATGCCGTATATAAATACTAAAAACCTCAGGGTTTAAAACCACCTAGAACCTTTTGTGAAGCATAAAATGCTATTTAAACCCAGATCCTGTAACTGGTCCAGGTCCTCAAGGAAGGGGTTCCTAAAGTACTAAATCGCCGACGTGCATGAGCTGCACAAAAACACAAAAGATGAGATGCGCTCTCACCGTCCTCTCCACAGCTACGACAGATTTGGTTGAAAGGAAGACCTAATCTTCTAGCAAGGTTCCCTAGTTTACAGTGTACTGTAGTCAACCCTACCAGAAGACCAGTGTCCTTGCGGGACATCTCAATTAGAGTTTTTGATTTCCTTTTATGGGAAAGTGGCCAGATTGCATACAGAAGTCGTTGAGTCTTCCCATCTTTTGTTAAAAGTATTAGTGCAGAAAGAACTCAATAACAATTTACATGATGTTAACGATATGCCCAGATAGTCTAGGTGCTCCGAGTATGGTTTTGAAGCACCCTTTCTGGCTAACTCGTCTGCTTTGCAATTTCCGAAAATATCTCTATGGCCGGGAACCCAGATTAGAGAAATATTGAGCTGCGTCGACATTTCGTTTAGAGATGTGTAGCAGTCAAGAACTGTCCTAGATGTAAATTGGACCGAACTCAAGGACTTTAATGCAGCTTGACTGTCTGATAGTATGTATATATTCCTGCCAAATACATCATCTATATTCAAACAAGCTATAGCTTCTCTGATGGCGACCACTTCCGCCTGAAAGACACTAGAATGATCTGGAAGCCTAAAGTAAGAAGATTTGTTCAATTCCTCTGAGAAAACTCCACTAACTACACCACTACTTGTTTTGGATCCGTCAGTGAAGATGGTTACGCCCTCATCTAAGAAGGAACCACCTGACGTCCATACCTCTCTACATGGAAACACGACATTAAATTTTCTATCAAAGTTGAGAGTGGGTGTGATGTAATCAACGTTTTTAGGAGTAAAATTGAAAAGATTTAGAATGGAGGCATGACCATAGTCACTGGCTCTCCATTGTGAAGTAGCTTTTAGTCTTAAAGCAGATGAAGCTGCCATTTGTTTACTAATAATATCCATTGGCAGTAACTGAAGCATCAAGTCTAGTGCAATGGATGGTGTGGTGCATAGCGCCCCGCTAATATAGAGTTCAGCTCTACGCTGAATCTTGTTAAGTACCGAACAGTGCGAAAATTTATCAAGAGCTGTCTACCATACCGTAATACCATACAGCAATATGGGCCTAATAACAGCTGTATATAGCCATTGGGTCTTCATTGGACATAGAAGAAGCGCAACATTGGCTTTTCTTGCGCGCTCTAGAGTGTTTTTCTTCCAAGTGAGTTTCCTATCGAAAACTATACCTAAAAATTTGGCTTCCTCCTTCACATGTAACACAGAACCTCGTAGAGAGGGTGGAGAAAGATTTGGGACCGTATGTTTTCTTGTGAAAACTACGATTTCAGTTTTATTGGGATTCACCCCAAGGCCACATTTTTGTGTCCAATTGTTTAGGATATTAAGACCATTCTGTAGAATATCCCTAAGAATGGTAGTATATTTTCCGGTGACTGTTATCGCAATATCATCCGCATATGCCATAGTTTCGCAGCCCTCTGCCTTCAGTTTTAGTAGCAATTCATTCACCACTATGTTCCAGAGGAGAGGGGAGAGTACTCCTCCTTGGGGGTACCTCTATTCACCCTTCTGCGTGCCGTTGAAGAGCCCATCGTTGCTTCAATGAGTCTGCCAGTTAGCAACTGATTTATAAAGCCAAGCCCATCATCTACACCCAGATGCGAGATCGCGCTTACTATTGCACTCGGGAGTATATTGTTGAAGGCCCTTTCAATATTTACAAAAGCAACCATACAAAATTCTTTGAGTTTAATGGATTTTTCTATTCTATAAGTGAGGGAGTGGAGAGCTGTCTCCGTAGATTTTCCCTTAGTGTAGGCATGCTGTGAGGGGGACCACTGGTTGGGGCTTACAGCACGCCTTACTTCTACGTCTATGATTCTTTCAAG